TTTGCTTTATAGATTCTTTTACTTTATTGAAATTCAGATGAAATTAACAGCTTTGTAATACTGAGATACTGAGGAAAGACTGGACACATAGGTGACAGATTGACAGATAATAGGCATATTCATGTATATGTTGTGTTTTTATTTAAATATCTTGGTTGATATTTTACAGTGTGAAATAATCATGAATCAAGATGCAGTTGGAGGTCAGGCATGTAACCCACATAATTACAGGTGCAGGCCTGTAATTCTGGCACTTGGGAGGCTGAGGAAGGAGGGGGTGCTGATTTCCAGGCCAGTCTTTGCTCTGAAGTGAGACTCTCCAAAAACTAAAAATAAATAACGATGCAATCAGAAAAACAATAGAAAACAATCGTGTGTAGACTTAACCAGCTTCCACAAATAATAACGAGACAAAAGGTCTTCACGGCATTTGTGCAGCATCACAAGTGCTGACCTCGGGTGCTGACCTCGAGGCAGCTCTTTCTAGATTATTTCTGTCGGCCCAGGAGACCTACCTCTCGCCTCATGCCTCCCTAAATGTTGGAAAGCATGAATTTGTTCTAATTTCCTGTAAAATTCACATTTCAAGTACTTGTAAAGGTAAAATCACATATCACTAACCTTTTAGGATTGCTGGGGTTTTCTGTGTCTTTTAGAATCATAACTGGAGAGTCATCTTGGATGTTGGGGCACCAACTTGTCACCTGCTTATGCAGCTGACTGCCATTTCATGCTAAGGATGTTCCACAGGATGTTTAATATTTGACCTAGAAGATATCTTAGTTGTTTTTAGTGTTTTGCTGTTCTCAGTAAAGCTACTAAATTGTTGTGTACAGTTTTTTGGGTGAATATAGATTTTCATTTCTCTGGAATAACTGCCCAGGAGTGCAGTTCCTCGATGCTGCTGGGCAGGTGCACACCTGTAACCCTAGCACTGGGAAGGCTGAGGCGGGAGGATTACTGTGAGGCCAATTTGGGCTATATAGTGAACTCAAGGACAACCTGAATTACACAGTAAGACCCTGTTTAAAAACCAGAAAAGAAATAAAAGAAACTGGCACACCAAACACCTTTTACCCTTCAACCTCATAGAACACTTCCATTAGTTGTAAAGGGATTTTGTTTCATGCATGCAATATGTTGGCATGTATATAATATTATACCGTATTTTATTATGGATTATAATATAGATTACTTGTAGCTTTCTATGTAGCCAATGATGTTATACATAAGTGGGAAAAGTTTTTCTCACTTAAATTGTATGCTTGTGTTTCATGGTCTTGTCTTATTGCATGGGCTAGAATTACAACTACATTGATAAAGAGAACAGACATGTTTGAATTATTCTCAGCCTTAGGTGGAAAAATTCATGGTTTTAACATTAACTATAATTTCAATTATATCTTTTGGTTCATACTCTATGAACTTGGAAAAAATTCCTCTATTTCTGTATTTCTGAGAGGGTTTAGAGTAAGTGTTGAATATTGTCAAAAACTTTTTTTGCTTTAATTGATATTATCTTGGGCTTTAGTATTTTATCTTAGTAATATCATGGATTACACTGATCAATTTTCACATATTGAAGCACCCTTAAATGTATAAAATAGGCCACAGGTGGTCATCATATAAATTCTTTTTATATATTGCTGAATTCTATTTGCTAAAATTTTGTTAAAGATTTTTCCACATCTACTCTTGCAAAATATTGTGTGTGTGTGTGTGTGTGTGTGTGTGTGTGTGTGTGTGTGTGTTGAATTGGTCTTGTTTTGGTATAGGTCTAATAATAGGACTATTCTAAGTATTTTAGTGCTGTTTGCTTGTTTGTTTTGAGACAGGCTCTCACTATGTAGTTCGGCCTGGCCATGAACTCACTGTATAATCTGGCTGGCCTTGAACTCATGAGGGTCCTCCTGCCTCAGCTTCCCCAGTGCTGGGATTAACTGTGTATTTTAAGTTGGATGTATTGTAGTAGTCTGTGAGCACTGTTTCCTTTCCTTTCTCTTCCCTCCCCCTCCTCCCTTCCCCTCCCGTTTCTCCTCTCCTCTCCTCTGGATTCCCCTTCCTACCTTTCTTTTATTTCTTTTTTCTTTTTCAGTACTAGAAACTGGACTCCCTGTCTCACTTATGCTAAGGAAACACTCTGTCACTGAGTTACCTCTTTAAGTCTAGTTTGTGTTTTGGAAGACTTAATTTGATACATTTTATTTATTTTAAGTGCACAAGTACAGAGTTGTTTGAGCATTCCTCTATTACCCTTTCCACATTGTGGCTCCTTCCTGGCATTAAGAATTGGTGGAAGTTTCTCTTTGCCATTTCTAGAGGATTGCTGATTATTAATTTTCCAAAATGGCTCATTGTGTCAATGATTCTCTCTATTGTGCTCCTATTTTTGGTGTTTTTTGTTTTGTTTTGTTTTGTTCCATTTTTCTGTTTTTTATAAATTTCATTTCTTCCTGTTCATCTTTTATTTTCTGCCTTCTGCTTGCTTTGGGTTTGTGTTCTCTTCCCAAGTTCTTGTTTCCAGAGCTCATCTGTTTTTTGCTTCCCAGTTCTGGACATGGAGCTCAAGGATATTTTAGGCAAACCTTTTGTGCAAGCTTTCTACCACTGAACTGCATGTAAATTCTGAAATTTTACCTATTAGAATGTGAGGTTTTTCTCTGTTTTTAATGTGTAGATCTAGTGTTGTAAACTTCACTTTCATTGTTCCTTTAATTGTGCCTCACAAATTTCAATGGATTTCTTCCCTTTGTTTCATTTTGTATTTTTTAAAATTTGAGATGTCCTTCTTGATGCATGGATTAGTTAGAACTATGTTGTTTTCACACGTCTGGGTATTTTCTCATTTTTGCTATGTATTTCTACTTTATTTCCCTGTGTTCAGACAACACACATTATATGATTTCAGTGGTGTTAAGTTTGCCGCACGAAGCTTCAGGACCTCACCTACCTTAGGTCGCTCTTCTATGGGCACTTGAACATTAACTTGGCTACCTTTGGGCAGTAATCAATAAATTTCATTAAATGCCACTGATTGATGGTTTTGTGAGTTTTCCTGTGTCCTTGATGATTTCCTGTAAGTTGTTCTGTAGCTGTTGAGAGAAATGTGCTGAACTTTTCAGCTATCATTATGAGCTTGTTCCTTTTTTCAGCTCTGTTTTCTCTGTATATTTTGCAGTTTTATTTATTAATGGGGGCATACACATGCAGGACAATTCTGTCTCCCGGGAGACTGAGGCGTTTCATTACAGAACACCCCCTTCTGTCCCAGGCAAACACTTTTGCACTGACACCTACTCGGTCTGTCATTATTAGACACCCACTCCGTCAGGAGTCTCTGACTAGTGTTTCCAGGGTATGTATTTGTCCCACAGCTGTTTAAATCTCTCCACACTGCTAGATTTCTCATTCTCAGACAGAATATATTTTGTTCATGATTTTTATCCTGCTTCAGCAAAGTTTGTCTTTTAATTGGGATACTTAGGTCCCTTCATGGAACACTGGCACATCGAAACTTACATCTACCATTTTATGTATTTGCTCTCTCGGTCATTTGTGTTTTTAACAATTTACCTTTCAGTCATTAATCATTTATTTCATTTTTCCTGATTCCTTGAGACTTTCATGTGTCTTTCTGTAGCAGCGTGGCTGGTGTTTTACTGAGTGCCCAGAATTTGCCATCCACGTCTGCAATTACCTTTGTTGTATCAGAGTTAAACACAGAAAACTCACCTCCCCTTTCACTTTTCTTCCCCATTTATAGCACTGTAGTCTTAAAAATTTCACCTGTTGATACAGGCAATTCTTTTTAAGATAGCAAGAGGCATTATGGTAACCATTGTTGATCACTTTGTATTCTGTTTTTACAGTATGTATTATGTCCATTCTTTTGATTTGACTGACTCTGTTTTGTTATGTTTCATTTGGTTTTATTCTCTTAAAAAATAATAAGAACTGTGGGAATGATAAAACTCAAAATGTGTAATTGTCATTGTAAAAAAGAGGAAAAGAAAGTGCTCTAAAGGACATAACTGCGTGTATATTTAAGTGTATAAGATAGACAATGATATTACTGAGTTTTGTTGGATCATTGAACAGAACTGTTTGCAGTCTCACTGTTTGAATGTCCACTTTATATGCTTTAATTTTGTAACTTGAACAACTATTTATAAGATGACAATATGTAATCTATTAATTAGTGATTTCCTACTGTTCATTTTTTCTGAAATTCTGTATAACTTGTACTCTTTTCTGTTTTTTTTCTCCTTAAATAAAATGTTTTAAAAATTTCATCTGTGTGTACTTGCATCATCAGAGAGCATTTTTCTTTACCTGCCAAGTAAAATTTAGACACTGCAGAAAAGCCTGCTGTGCTGTTCACCGCTTTGCTTGTCATGTCCTTTCCTCCCTCCTGACCCCTCGCATCCAGATTCTCTCTCCCTTTCCTGTTGTAGTTGTAGAGCTCTCATTTGGCCGTTCTTTCATGATAGTCATGCTGGCAATACATTCTCTTACTTTTTATTTGCTTTTAACTATGAATGTCTTGATTTCTCTTTTAATCTTGCAGTATACTTTTTCTGGATATAAATGTCTAGCTTGCCATGTTTTCTTTTTGCTTCCTGTGCTTAACAAGTATCTTTCTGTTACTTAATAACAATATATTCCAATTCTCCAGGTCCTGTGGTTTCTCTGGAGAAATTAGTTTTTATTTTAATTGTTTAACTATCATAGTTAAGGTGTCACTTTCCTAACTGTTAATACTTTTTTCTTTGTGTGTAAGTTAGTTGTGTGTTAAGTTAGTATTTTAATTATGATTGTCAGGTATGTGTTTGAGTTTATCCTGATGGTATTTTGCTTGTATTTTTTGTCTGATAATGGTTTTTGTTTGTTTGTTTGTTGTTTTCTGGGGGTTTTGCCACTATTTCTCCCAGTTATTTTATATTCTCACCCTCTCTCTTTGAAAATTTGGAAACAAATTTAAAATTTTGTTACAAACTCACCAGTCTTTGAGGCTCTCTGTGTATTCTTCAGTGTATTTTCTCACAGTTGGATGGATTTGATAAATACTAGTATTTTGGTGGAAACCGCTGAGTTCCACGACCTCCCCACTGATAGAATTTTGGTGCGCTGAAAAGATAAAAAGTATGAAATATAAATGACCTTTATTTTAAGAATGTCAGGAGAGACCCCCTGACCCTCTGGGGTCTGGCATTGTCTCCACGGGCTGGCATTCTCTCTGGCAGACACGTGGAGTGGGGGCATACATGTAGCTCAGGTTTGGGGTGGTGCCTAAGGGGCATTAGTGGTGCACAGGCAGCCCATTGGTATTCATTTCATGCCACAGGTAAGTTCCTAGGGGCGGGGAAGATAGAGCCCCTTGGTTCCGCCTTCAAGGCTTTACCAGCTACAGTGTCCCAAGTGGGACAAAATTCTTTCACCCACCCTGTCCTGTTTTGCTGTTGAGGCAGTCTGCTGACTTTTGGTTTCTTTTTTTTTTTTGGAGGGAGTGGAGTATTTTGCTTTTCTAATTCCAAGACTCTCATTTGGTTTCTCTTTATGTCTTCTGTTTCTTTACAGACACTGCAATTTCTTTGCTGAGACCTGTTTATTTCAGTTGTTTCCAAGGTGTTTATACTTGCCATTAAAACATCTTATCATAACTGCTTTTTCCAAACTCTGTAAGAGTTCTAGCACCTCTGACATCTGCTTTGGCATTTTTTGACTGTCTTTTTCAACAACTTGAGATTTTCTCAGTTGTCAAAATGAGTGGTTTACAATGTAACCTAGACGTCCTGTTGGGAAGGGATTCTGATATTATTCCAATCTCGCACAAACAGAGATGTTGATATGGCTTTTCTTTAGCATCCTGGCATGGGGGAAAAGTGTGCCAACTCATTACTCACTTATTTCCTGTTTGTGTTTTATTCCATTGCATTGGAGACACTGCAGGTGAATATTGAAATATTGTAACACTGATATTTTCCTGTGATTTAAATAGTCGGACACTTCTTCACTGCTGCTCCATTCCCCAGCCTCAGGAACTCGCAGCCAGCTGCTGTCCTTGGGGAAGACCCACCCTGGTGGCTCATGTGACATGGACTGCTCTTGTCGCTTTATTTGGGGCACAGTTTAGTAGTTCTGTTTCAGCACATTCTCAGTCTCTCCTTAATTCTTGACATTCTGCACTCTTTGTTGACAAAGGCCGCTGGCAATTCTGTGCCTGCAAACTCTCCACAGCAGCCACCTTCGCACCCGTTCTTATCAAGATCCTGCCCGCAAGCCCTGCCCCTCGCTCCCTGCCACAAAGGTGCCTTCATTTACTTTGCAAGTCTTTTTGCTCAGTTTAGCATTGATGTGTTAACCAGTGTACATGCGAAACTCACTGACTTCTTTATATGCAAGGAAATAAAAGAAAAGCAACCAAAAGTAGCAACATAGAAAATACACAGAAAGTAGCCCAAGGAGAGAAGAAGGTTTCAGGGCTGCCAACATTGACTTCTGTGAGTTGTGCCTGCCTCTGCTGCCTGAGCTGAGACCTGACCAGACAGCCGCACACGCTGTAAACCCCACTTTAAATTCCTCTAAGTGCGGAGACTGTAGGCGTCTCTGTGGCCTCCGGGGGAAGGCGCCATTGAGCAGGTGGACACCTACCTGCTCAGTGCAGTGGGAGTGGCCACGGAAGCAGCGTCACGGATGGGGTCCAGCACTGGGAGCTGGTCCAGGGCTGCAGCCTGGGCTTCAGGGAGCGATCAGCACCTGGACTGCAGCCCGGAAGTGGGAAGTGCCCTGGCCTCCGCCTTGGTGCAGGTGTGTCAACACTGGCCTTTTCCAGAGTGGAAGTAACCAGTAAGACGGGGGCTGAGCCAGAAACCTGGCTGGAGTTGTGTGGGTGAGGGTGTGGAGCGGGGAAAGGGGTTCATCCTTTTCCTTTTTTAAAATGTTTATCAGCGTGTTCGCAGTATAGAATGATTCCATTTTTCTCACAGAGTACATGTACAAAACACACATTAAATTTTTTTAAAAGTTTTTTCATATTTCTTTAATTTTGTTGGTACCTGTTAGTCACGCATAATGATTGCATTCGTCAGAGGGGATTTGTAGTGTTCTTGACACAGTTTGTTCCTTGTTTCCTATCCCCCACCTTTCCTTCAGCCCCTCTTCCCCTCCTTATGTAAGAAAGGAAGGAAAATGTGGAAATGAGAGGAGTTCATCCTTACGTGGCCACGCCTGCCGCGTGAACTCTCCAGGCCTTCCAAGGCAATCAGATCCTCAGGGATGCAGACCTGCAATTCCAGCCCCACTGCTCTGAGATCTCCAGCAGAATCTGTGAATTCTAGCCCTTCGTTTACACATCTGTAGGATGCTCGTTGACCTCGGGCCTGCACTTCAGGGGCTGCACCACAGGCCACAGGCCCTGCATCACAGGTGCTGCACCTCGGGGCCACACCTCAGGGGCTGCACCACAAGGGGATGTAAAAGGGACCTGCATCACAGGAGCTGCCCCTCAGAGTGCAGAGTGCACATAGTGAGGACTCTTAACCACTGAGCCAACAACTTCCAGTGCCGGATGCTGCAGAATGGCGCTCAGGATATGGGCACCTGAGGCCTTTGTGCATGTTTGTTGTTAATTAAATCTGCTGCAGCCTTGCAGAGACTTAAGCAGGTTTTTCTGGTCATCATGAAGCTACAGTTCTGCTTCTGCACGGTTTACCATGCTCCCCACAGACAGGGCTCCATTAGTGAGCGAGGAAGAGGACACTGAGACACGCTAGGCTCTGCTGACAGAAGAAGAGGGCTCCGAGGGGCCCATGAGAGGATGCCCACGGTAGAGCAGATGCGGGAGCAGCAGTGCAGGCACAGGGCCCAGGGGCAGAAACAGACCGCAGAGCTTCAGGGAGACCCGGAGCAATCAGGGTGGGAGCCAGTCCCACACCAAATATAGACCTTTCTGTGCCTCAGTTTCCTCCTCCAGTAAGCTTGACAGTGACCACCGTACAGTTTTGCTGAGAGAATTAAAAGTCATTGTACTCACTTAGGTAACTGCCAAGGATGTGGTAAGTGGTCTCTTACACTAGTTATTGCTGATCTGATTTTCATTATACAAATTAGCCTTATGTGGAAGCAAAATGCACTCAACACGTAAATGCACACTAATACCAAAGCACATCGAGCCTTCTGAATTGCTGTGTATGGGGAAGGGAGTAGAAAATGGGGATAAAATGGAAGAAAGACATAATTATAACAATGGGTTATTAGTTCTAAATTAAGAGACACAACAAGTTCTAACAGAAATGATGGTGTCAACAACTAAAGCAGAGAAAGAGCAAATAAGAAACTTGTAGAGGGTTTTGCAGCTTAGATGACGTGAGCTGCAAAGGAAACATGGAGGCATCCCCTGACCTACAAGGCACACATCTCAAGATGCCCACTGGGCACTTGGAACCATGGATTGTACCCAAGCCTATCTCTACTGTGTCCTTCCCTACACATACATAGCTATGATGAAGTTTAATTTATAAATTATGGGAAATAGGAGATTAACAATAACATACTAGAAAGGACCATCTAACTAAAATATCATGGGAATGATGCTTCTCTTTTTCTCTCTCCCAAAATAGCTTATTGTGCTCTACACTGTACTCTCTGTTCTCTCTCATCATGATGATGAGAGCTGATCTAACACCTATGAGATGTGATGAAATCTACTGAGTGACAGGCATTGTGACCCACGGTTTATTAGGTCACTACAGAAGTTTTCCTTGAACATGCACATTATGGTAGCCAGCCTAATAACTCACACATGTACTGTGTGACTATTGGGAGGGTCAGGTATACAAAGCAGACACACTGAGTAAAGAGATGATCCATATCTCGAGGTGGGGGGTAGGGACTGGATGCATCATAGTACTTACTTTGAGCAGCTCCAAACTTCTAAATTGCTTGTTTCTAGAATTTTATGTTTAATATCTTCATACTACACTGGACTGTATTTAAAACTGTGCCAAGTGAAATTGTACATTAAGGGAGATACAAATGTGTTTCCCCTTTTAAAAAGGTTTAAACAGTAGGACTGAGCCTCCAATTGGTCAAAGATGCACACCTTTAACCACTGATATCAGCTGCCTTTGTTGTCTACCAAATGGACAATGACCCCTCTGTATAGCATCAGGGAGGTTAAAAATCCAACAGGCACGCATCAGGGGAGATCAGGTGCAGCAGCAGTTCTGAGCACCCTGGCTCAGTGTCTTCAGCTTACAAATGCAGTGATTAAAGCATCATGGTAAAGTCACTGTGCCAGGAAATAAAACACTCTTAGGCCCCAGCTCATGGCAGGTAACGTTAAATGTCAGTTTCTTTCCTCCTTCCCATTAGTCTCCAAAATCTAGACCTGTGATCCCTCAGGTGAAGAAGCCCTGGAGGACCTAGTGATACATACATAGCCCAACAAGTGCCAAGCTTTGGCTCATCAAAGTAGAGATATTTGTCACTGTTCCATTGCCACTGCCACACGGCGTCCCACATGAGTTGCGTTAGACCAATCAGACTGTAACGAAAAGAATCCTTAATCCAGCTCCAGAGTCAGAAGCATGAAATAGGAACAGGACGCAAAGGAAATAAACCGCACCACTGTTCTATTTCCCATGTGATTTTACAAGGTCATTAACTTCTTTAGTGGTGCTTACAATTTGTGACACAGGCATTCTGCACGCTTACTGGTCAAACTGCAAACACTGTCGTGCATATTTACAAGAAAACCTCCTGTTCGTGTAATGAGTCTGAGCAGTAAACCTGCAAGCTGTGATTCACTTCCCCGTGTTACTTTACCGGTGCACTTTCGAGGTTTGAAATACAGACAGCGTCTTCTTTTGCAAGGAAATATCCCCAGGAGAAAGGTGCGATCAGTGTGCCTGTGGAAGCCAATTGGGAACTCGGGCTCATAAAAGCGCTGGAGCCTGACCTTGCCGCCGTCCGCACTCTCGTGCAGCAGCTAAGTGAGACACGGTGTGACAGCAGCATAAACTATGCTCATCCCGCCATACTTCACGGATCTCAAAATCGCCAGCCAGTAAAGGGCAGCCTGTGCACCCACCTGGAGGATGGAACGGGGTGGAAATGGGGTGATCAGCTTCAGGAGCAGGGCCAGGGCTTCTCGGGGCCAAAGCCCAGACAGCACCCAGGAAGTGGAAGACAGAGGCTGGTGTGGCCAATCTAGTTCCACTGAGTCAGCCCCAGAGGCAAGGAGGACAGCCGTGGCTTTGGGGGCTCACGGTCTGGGGTCCGTATGATGTTCTGTTCACTTTTCACCTTCTGCAGTGATTATGCTCCCAGGCTTCCCAGAGGGGAAGCATGAAGCACACTGAAACATTTGCCTCCTATCCACTGATTATGTGCACGTGGGTTCCTCCCCCGGCCTGTGTTTCCATTTCTAGGGTTGGAGAACTGCAGACCCCGCCATCCCAGCCCCTAAACATCCAGGTGCATTTTTCCTTAGGCTTCTGTTGGATGCCGAGCTAACACACACTTCTGTTTTCTTTTGTGTTTATCTGGCTTACTGGTCTGATTTTTAACACCTGGATTTGCATGACAGATTTGAAGAGTTTGAGAGAAAACCTGTTTTCCTGCCCCATGACCGTGTCCTTCGAACACACCCCATTTTTCGTGATGTGTAAGAGTCCTCATCTACTGACCACACCCAGATTTCTCCAGAGTCACGCTCCAAAGGGACAGACGGCAACTAGGGCAGCCCCAGGCAGTGCGTTCCGGCTGTCCTGGGCACCTGGTCCCTGGGAGGCCTCACAGGCTGAGGACTGGCTCAGCAGGTGTGCGAGGTTTTAGGTTCCTCATTTCTAAGCACTTTCCCTGCCATGCCTAAGTTCCTGGTCTGTCAACAAGTCAATCAACAACTCCTTGAGCAGCAAGGGTCTAAAGGTGCTGAATAGGACATTTTCAGTCCCTCGCCCGGGGTCCTGTTCTTCTGACCCTACAGTGCAATGCAGGAGGTGTGTGAAGGTGAAGGGGAGGACACCAGCTTTTCATTCATTCCTTATTTTCTTTTATCCATATTTTCTGATCTCAGAAATATAAACCTCACAACTTGGATAAAATACCTCTCCATGTCCTTCGTTACTCAGGGCAACCCCGAAACCTTTTCTCGTAGGTAGCCAGCGGCCAGCTACACGCTTCCTGTCGATGGGTGACAATTATTTTTAAATGTCAAAGCTAACCTCTCCATCAGCCCCTTAGTCACCTTCCTGGTTGCTGGAACAAAATACCTGACACTTGGTACTCCAAGAAGGAGAGGTCCATTTTGGCTCACATTTCCGTCATACTGGCCCAGGTGCCAGGCAGGATGGCATGGTGGGCGGGAAGTGAGGAGCCAAGGGGATCATAAGCCCTACTGCCCTCCCACAGTGACCAGCCCCACTGACCAGTCCCCGCCCGGCAGCACCCTGAGCTCAGCAGCAGCGGGCCCACTCACACAGACCTGCCCAGGCCATCAGTCCAGTCCCCAAAGCCCTGCCCATGATCACATGAGGCTTTGGGGGGCTTCTAGATACAAACCAAACCCCCCTCTTCCACCCTCCTGGCTCCAAGGAATGCCAGTTCCACTTGACCAAACGCCCCAGACTGAAATCATGAAGCTGTTTGTTTCCCTCAAAAGTTTCCAGGTCTTGTTTTTCACAATGAGGCCTAAGTCTCGCAGAGAACTCAGACAAAAAGCCTGACAAGCATCTGTTAAATGTTTTAGACTATTAGCGAAAAGCCAAACTGTGCTCAGTTTAGTGCATTCTGTGTGCAGCTAGGAGAACCGCCCTGATGTGATGGGGAATGAAATCTATTTTAGTTGCTCAGCATAATAACTTTGTTTTTCAGTTCTAAATGCTTTGCACATCAGCGGAGATAATTAGAAATGATTTTTCCTATAAACACATGAAATCATCTCTGAGATTGAGCGTTTACCTGAACAGAGTTAATTCACACGCACTATTGTGTGGGTGTTTTGCTTACTCCTAACTGGGGTAACAGAACAGCGATCACAGTGCAGCGTGTTCAGGTTTTAGAAAACGTTCCCACGCCCAGTTCTCACGGCTGTGTGAAGAGTGACTCTGGTTACGGCTGGATGGGCCACATAGTCCAGGTTCTTGGGTGGCCCAGGAAAGAACTGCCCAGCAGGCGCCTGAGTAGGTAGTGAGAAGCTGCATTTATTGAAGATCGTGGGACGGAAGCAAGAACAGGGAGCAGGAAGAGGAACTCGCAAGATTTCAGGCCACTCAGGCGTCCAGTGCTTAAAGGGTCAGGGCCCAGGTGCCTCCCGGGTCGTCTTGATAGAGGGGAATGAAGCTCCCAGCCTCCTACGTCCAGAACGAGTTTGTGTTCTCTAAAATCAAAGAATGAATGGAGGGTAAGAGCAGAATGTGTTTATCGAGAGAAAGCAAGCTTCTGTCTGAGAGAAACAGAAGGGGTCCCCATCCATGTGTTTTCTCACTCCAAGATTTTACAGTTTTCGGGTGGGGAAAATGGGGAGCTCACAAGGCAGATGGGCATAAGTTTGGACGGGACTCTGGTTAGCCAATGAGATTAATAGTTCAGGTAAAATTGATTACATTGGGGACAAATGGGGAGGTGAGTCATGTAGAAAGCAGACAATTATTGGAGAACAGGGACTCTTCCCTAGGAGATTGGGATGCTGACTCCTGGCTTCCTCAGGGTGATAGGGAGCTATTTAGAATACCAGTCCTTAGGATGTGGATGCATTTATTTGATTGTTTGTCTGATGCCTGGCCCACAGCAGGAGGGATCTGTCTCCCCCACAGTTGCAGGGTATCTGGGCTTCTGCACTGGCTCCCTTGAGGACCCAGCCCTGTCTCACTGCCTATAATATTTCTAGCTAACTCAGCTGCCCTAACAGTCTGTCACAGGGGCGGGAACTGATGCTCTGACCCCGGGCAGCACCACTACCTAAATTTGAACAGGGCAATCACCAAGCCCCACATCCACACTAAAGGAAGGGGAGGGAGTGACTTGATTTCCCTGGCTCTAACTGGATCAAACCTTTCTGGAAATCTTCATCTTTTGCCTTCAAGGGAAGATGTTTTCCTCTGGTTTTGAATTTGCTTTGTAGTCCCACCTGGCCTGGAACTCACAATCCTCCCGCCTAGGCCTCCAGAACCACTAGAATGTAGAGATGAGCCACACCTCTGGCGAAAAATCAACTCTCTTTGAGTTCTTGTTCCCTTCAACTGAAATCTTTGCATCCAGGCCTAGCCATCCCTGCAAGCTGACTTCTGTTTTTCCTCAGTTAAATTCTGATTTTCTGTTATTTATGAAGAACCAGATCCTCATTTTTGTAACATAGGCATGGCAGCGACTTAACAATCATAATTTAACCATCTGCAACTGCAGTCACTTAGGAATCTGTTTGCAAAAGCAAACCATAAAACAAAATGCAAATCAGGTGAGTTCAGAGGTCCACTTTTCACTGGTTAATACTACTTCCTTAGCGAAATGTAGGTGCCTTTTGGCCACATGCATTTTACTGAAAATGCCATATACACGTGGGAGCGTTAGATATTTAGGCGACGACATGGTTTCTTCAGAAATGTCTCCATCTAAAGTCTATTTTATTTATCTTTTTGTACTGGGGATTGAGCTCATGACCACGTGCTTGCAAGGCAGGCCCTTATGCCTGCTGAGCTAATTCCCTGGCTAACGTCTCATTTAGAAAACAGGAGCCAGGATTGGTGATTTACACCTGTAACCCCAGTGCTCTGAGAGGCTGAGGCAGGAGGATCCTGAATTTAGAGGTCAGCATACTCTGCAGAGAGAGACCTTCCTTCAAAAAGATAAAAAGAAAGGAACAGAGTTCCCCGCAGAACCGAATTTATTCTAAGAGTTAATATGTGACAGCTTCCTAATTAATGCCACTGGGGAAACTCAGCATGGGCTTGGTTTGCTTTACTGAGATCTCTTGAAATGAACTGAACATAACCGCACCAGCCTGACTGATGGTCATCCAGGAAGCTGCCTCTGTTTCCGCCACGGGGAGGGTGTCCCCAGGGCTGTTCAGACTCTGGGGAGTCCAGTTCTCAGCACGCAACCTGCACTCACCAGCGGATTCTCAGTGGGCGGGGAGCAGAGGCTGAAGATGGGCTAGTCACGCATGCTTACTTTTTTTAAAAGGGAAAAGAGCAGGAGATTTAGCTCAGCGGCAAAAGCGCCTGCCTGGCAATCGCGAGGTTGTGAGTTCAATCCCTGGTACCTGCCCTCCCAAAAAAAGATGAAAAAATCTTTGCTTATAATTAAGATAAAAAAGAAAAATCAAGAAGCAAAGAGTAACCTGCACACCAGGAGGGACAGTGTGTTGTGCCAAGGCACACTGTGCGCTGCAGGCTGCGAGTTTCCAGGGTTCTGAGGATGCTCAGGCCACCGTGTTGGAGGGCGTCCTCTGGGAGAGCGCCTTAGGAGGAGCCTCATTCCGGGATTCCCATGGCACCTCCCTGAGATCCAGCCAGTGTCTGATTCTTCCTCCCCTCATCCACTCTGAGCCCTGCGCCTGTCCCCTTTTCCTTAACTTATTAATGCTGCAAACTGGGTCACTTTGTGTCCAGAGGAAAATAAACACGCTGGCCACACATCTCTCCTCTACTTCTTTTTTTTTTTTCTTCGGCTCAACCCTCAAACCCAAATTCTCATTTAAATATTTGTTACCCAAAACAGAAGTTAAAAATTTGATGAAACCTCAGGGTTCACACCAAGGTTAATGACATATTTGGAAGCGTTGCAGATTTCAAAAGGCTGTTCTAAACATCCCGGGAGGGAATCTGTATCCCAGACAGGTGTGGGGATGCATGTGCGTGTGCATGGGGAGAGACGGGCGTGCAGCGAGATATTTCTCTCCTGTTAGTAATATCTACACCACATTCCAAAAAAGGACTGAGAGACGGGGGGGGGGGGGCACAGACCACCAATGGCTAGAAATGAAGACAGATCTTAATTGAAATGTCAACTAAGTAGCTTTGTGATGAGGAGTAGGGTGTGTTATAGCTTGCTTTTATGAAAATGTGAGACACTTAAGGAAAGAAAATGATAAGCAAATGCTCCTTTTAAAATTCCTCAAAGTGCTTTAGTGAGGTCAGGATAACCCCCTTCCTTGCCGGCATTTTCTGTTTCCCGAGTCCTGAGAACTGGAACAGAGGCTCTAACCGATGACCCCCTCTCCCTGCATGGCAAAGGGTTAACATGAGGGAGTGGAGTTTGGAGTTACAGCCCACCGCCCAGCGTGAGGAAGACCTTTTAACGTCTGCCCGTCTCTAAAGCTCAGCAATCCTTTGTAAGCTGTGAATCCCCTTTGTGGAACTATCTAACGAAGC